GGGGGTGTGTGGAGAAGGTTTTTCCGGATGGGGTGGCTGCTGCTGGGCAGAAGCGCTGCCCCGTTTTCCCTGCGGGCCCCGGGAGGTGGCTGCTTCCCCCTGCTGAGGCCAGGGTCAGCACCTCAGAAGAAGAAAGAGGCTGTAGGGTGCCCGCACAGGCCCAGCCACAAGGGAGGGCTCCGCCGACGTGAAAACAATCCAAAAAACCCCACCTGAGGTGGCAGGTGTCCTCCAGGCGTGCCTGGGCAGGAGGTACCCCAGCTGTACCCACGCTGAGGTGCTTTCAGGCCACCAGCACTGCCAAAGGTGTGGATGCAAAATTAGGGGTGATGGTGGCAGGGTTGTTATCCTTACCTGAGGCCCGCGTCAGTGTGAAGACCCTACCCTGCTGCTCCCTGGGGAGGGAAGCATTCATTTCTTCTTGGCACGCGCAGTTTTATGTCGCCCAAGCCAGTGTCTGCACCGCGTAGAGGCGGGCTATTTGCATGGGTTCCCAACAGTGGATGCGTTTTTATATCGAACCCCGCTGATGCTTAAATTAGATTCTCATCTGTATTCAGGTTGTGCTGTTTTTAAAGCTTATTACCCCTATGTATGATCTGATTCCTTTGAATTCTCTTTTCATTGATCCTTGAGGAGGATGTCAAATGAATTTCATCCGTCGACACAGGTGGTAGTTCTTGGACTAGTGCTTCTTATTTGTGGATCTTTCAAAAATTCCTGAAAAGGGGCAGATGCCACTATTAGCATTTTATTGATGGAGAAACTGAGGCAGAACAACTTTTGTTCCTGTCATCACTCTTAAATCCCAAGCCAATCATCTTGTGTATTCACTTCTAATGGTGGTCACTATTAGCTTTGAATTTTAACTCTGATTTTAATAACCCATGTTACCCTGATTATTTCATACAGTATTTTAAATGTTACTGGGAATGATAGATTTGTAGCAGAAAGGCTAAGTCAGCCTCATGATTTTAATAACCCATGTTACCCTGATTATTTCATACAGTATTTTAAATGTTACTGGGAATGATAGATTTGCAGCAGAAAGGCTAAGTGAGCCTCTTCCATCAGATTTAAACAGTATATAACTTTTTCCCTTTATTTGTCCCATCTACTGTTTGGTAGATCGGGTTTCAAAAGTGTCAGGATTGTCTGTTTGGTGTGTGCAGTAAGGACCCAGCATTATTTTACACCAGAGTGGGAGATTTTCCTGATGGCCTCAGTCACTGTTCCCCCGTGTACTCCTCTGAAATGTGTTGCTACCCTGGATCTTGGAGGGAGCTGTATTCTAGTGGTAGATTTTCCATGGCAGTAAAGGCTCTGGGGGAAAAAACCACTATGGTCTCCTCTGATTTGTGCCACTGCTTGCTGTATTTGTCACAACAGACTTACCTCCAGGAGAACAGAGGCTATTTTGCAGGCCCATTACCCACCTCCGCAGAAGCTGCAAAATAGTAGTTGGTGTTTCACCAGAGGAGTTGGCATCTTTCTTCACTGAGTTCACCAAACGCAAGGTTTTCAGGAGTAACCTCTTCAACTGGACATGTGGGGGTGAAATTCTTCACGTACGGTCTCTGAAGTTCTTCATTTTTTAAGTTTTTCCAGGGGGCAAATAATCTGTTTTCCATGTGAAATAATGAAAAAGTAGAGAATTTTTTTTCTGTTAGAAGAAAATCTATTCTGTGCTTCTTTGAGTTGGCCTGCTGTTGAAACAGGCAAGGTTAAAAACAAATATGTGCCATAGGCCTAGCCTTCCACCTCTGCTTAGTTCTGAGGAATCTGGATTTCTTTTATGGAAGTCTCTGAAAATCACTTACTGAGCACGCACACAGTATTTTTACACTCACAAAGTTGGCAGTTGGGTGTAAGGTTATTCTAGGAGGAGTCCAATATATATTTATTTCCCTATACAAGCTGGGAAGTGAAATAACACTGCTGTGGCCAGGAGTCCCTGTAGGATGCACAAAGTCTGAGCACAGGGTTCTCCATTGCCTTGTGTTGTGAACGTGGTCTTATCTAAAGCTTTCTCATCTGTAATGGGAAATCAGCTGTGAAACACTTGGAATGTGTGAAATATAAGCGAGTTTCTGTGCAGGCACTTTTTAGATGCATAAACGGATGCCATCGTGTTACCTAGCAAGAGTAGATGATACAGCAGAAAACCACACACAAACCCTGTAAATGCTGTCAGAGCAGAGCGCATGATGTTTTAGTACTCCAAGATATTCAAAATTCTCTTAGTACTGCAGAAATAATAAATAATAATAATAATAATAATAAAAAAGCTCTAAATAGATTTGACTATTTCTCAGTATTGTGCATTATATTACACAGAATGTGGCAGAAGTACGCACAGTACTCCTCAAGTCAGATTTGGGTAAGACCAACTTCCTGGTTAGAATAAATTTACCTAACATTCCTGAATCTTTGAAACAAATGAATGTTTTGGCTCCAGTATCTACCTTAAGCAAATTCTCCAGAATTACCAAGGCTCTTACTACCAAGGTATTTCACCTCCTTTTATTCCCAAGCATTTTGCATCCAGCTCCTTCAAGTATCATTCCAATTGGGCCAGCAAAAGGCATGTATAGGACTGATCCCGTTTATTGACCTTGAAACAGCTCCCACTGAAAGACAATGAAAATATTGCTATTTGTTTCAGTGGAATTAGAACCAGGTCCTTAAGACTTAAGTAGGACTTACATGGTACTTAGGTTTTATGCTTGCCCTCTGCACGGGGGTGAATCTCATTCCAGCAGAATGCCACTGGAGTATAGCAAAAACTCAGCAGCAGTATAATCGCCTAAGCCTGAAGGACATCCTTCCTTTAAAAGTTTGTACTCTGCAGTGTATATTTACATTTATTTTATATATATTTACACACACACACACATATATATAAAATGAATGTTTTGCCCATGAAAATGCTGTGCAAATTAAATGCAGAAAACATTACCTATATTACAATTTTAAAAAAAAGTGTCCCTTCCTCCTGAATGAAAATCATTCTCATCTTTTCAGCTAATAAGGCTTTGAAGAATTTCATTAGTACCACTACGTGCTATTTCAGTGCATTTGCTCTTGACTGGTGATCACATCATTATCGTTAACTTTTGCTGTAATATAACTTCTATCTCCATGGCTTGTAAAACCATTAGTCTGAAGGAAAGGGTTCCTGCCAGCCTTCTGTTTTGCTGCTGCCTGTGTGCAGAGGGCCAGCACTCGCGGCCAGCCGTCCCCCCATCCAGCTGCCTCGGTGGAACAGGTCACTGCCTGCGCTTGCTTGCCAGCGCTCGCTCGTTCAGCCATCACCATCTCACCAACGTGCTGATGGATCAGCTCGTATCAGTGCTCCCTAGTTCAGATCAAGCCAAGCAAGGCTAGCTGAGGCAGTTTAGGGACGTGGGCTAAGTTAGTCAGGCTTCTTTTCAACCGAAGCAAGTTAAGGAGCACGAACAACTCCTTCTGCAGATCTTCGCACTGACAGTCTGCAGCCGGAGGAGGATGACGAGTCGTTGGAGTCAGTAACCTCTGTCATTGGCACAGCTGGATTTGGGAGAGGATGTTTACGCACAGCCTACTCACACGTGTTTGCGTTTTACGCAAAAATGACGATGACTCCATCATCTAACTAGAAGGAACAAAGTGTGTATTTCAGTAACTAGAATTAGGTTTATCAGGTTATGTTACTTTCCATCTCAATGTGAATAAAGACAGAAGCTCCTATCCCAAACAAACTAAGTACCCTGGGTAAGATTGTGAACCCTTTTTGCAGCGGTGAACTCACTTCAGTAACCCCATTGCTTTGAAAAGACTGATCCTCTGTATTTATGCAAAATTCATTGTTAGTCATAATATTCACTACCGTGTATAGGAAGGTGAAAATCTACACCCTGTTTTGTTCTGAATAAATTGTTTCTCTGAGCTGTTAGTTTCGTTTTTAACCATGCTTTTCGTTAGGCTCCCCATAATGTATGTTAGGATTCACTTGCCAGATTACCTTCTCTGGACCTCTGCCTGGAAAGTGATTGGCCTATCAAGAGGCCAGGACACTGTGGCTCAGTCAAGCTTTGTAGGATATGCCCATTTCTTCCCTCTGGGCATCTGTATTGAGTTCATTTTAAGCCCCGTGAACCAAGGATTTTCAGCCTACCGTAACAGCCACCAAAACTTGTTTGTGAGTGTGAACGGAAACAATTTTTTTAAAGACTCTTATCTTTGTTACTCCAAAGCAACTTCCCCATCACAAAACAGAAATCACCAGATAGTCTTCTTTCCTGTTCATTCGTTCATTTGTTCTTTCATATACGTGCACATACACAAAAAGAGAGAGAAAAAAAAGGTTCCAGTTCAGCTTTAAAAATACTGTCTGGAAACATGAAGTTTTAGTGCGAAGCTGCAAAATATAATCACTCAAAATAGGGACCTAGAAGGAAAATCTTGCCTATTGCTCATGATAGGTTTTTTTAGGCTCCATTCCCCTCTTGATTTGTGAATTGCCAGACATAAGGTTCTCAAAGAATCCCACAGAAAATATTTCATCTCCGGTAATTTCTACACCCCCCTATTTTACATCGAAACATAACAATAATGAAGATTCATCTTCCAGTCCTTTTATCTGTGCCTTGCTCGCTCACTTGTCTTTCCTCATTAGCTTTGATATCACAGTGCCATCTACTTGATCAACAGAGTCAGGTTATTTTCCTTAGAAAATAACTGCGCGGCTGTAACCCTGAAGAAATCAAAGGGCTGCACGGTTCCTTAGCGAGGCCCCCTCTCCTCCGCACCCCCTAGCCCTTTCAGAGCAGCACTGCCCTTAGGTGTGCGCCTTTGGGAGCTGGCCCAGCTCCAAGCCTGTTTCACAGACTGACATAAAGCCCCGGCTGGACAGTGATGGATCCACTGGTGCTGCGAGGACAATTCAAGCCCTGCTGACCCTTCTCTCGGCACCCCCTCTCCTCTCCGGCAGGCGTTTCGTTTGACAGCCGGGTCCCTCTCTGTAGGCATAAAACGCGTCAGCCTTTTGTATGTGTAAACTGGGGCAGAGTCTTTGTTTGGAGTAAGAAAGCATCGCAGCAGTCAGAGGAGATGGATTGCATAGCCTGATAGGTCGAGCCATCCCTTCTTAAAAGTATCCACAGCCTAGCCTGAGCCCCGGCAGGCATATGCTTTATTAATTTCTCCTACAAATATTTAGACAAGAAACACTATAGACAGGGCTAAAAGAAATTATCACTGTGCACCTACTTCTAAAGACCTGTTTCTCTACAGGAATCACCAGTCTGGCAAGATCAACAGTAGGAGTGAAGGCGACACTGCCACACTAAATAACTTTTCACCTACAAGACAGGCTTTTTTCTCTTTTTGTACTATTGAAAGGTGTTTGAAGTTTTTTCTCTATGTATATTTCAAAGTAATTTTGATTCATTCATGGTGAAAAATCAATGTGTAGACTCCAGCTTTACCTGTCCTTAAGCCTTCCCTTTTTATTACTTTTATCCTCACCTGTCACTCTGTTCTTATCTTACCAGTATAGCTGCAAACAGGTAGGGTGTACGTACTAGCAACTTTCCAGAGCTCAGAGTCCTCAGTGGGCCTTACATGTGAGTGCTCTTATCAAAGCCTCAACTTTTTGTCCCTCAGAAGGCATCTTTGCCATGACTCGTGCATACAGGCAGAGTGACAAGAGATACGGGCTTGCTTTTATACGCACCTAGGCTTCCTTGTACGGAGGCAGGGAGCTATAGAGACGTCTACGCTCTTTGCTGTCACGCTCCACCTGTGAGGAGGGTAGGACAGCTTTCTGCAGCAGTACCATGGTACCTTTCTGCTTTGCCACTGCCTGTCGAGTGTAATCTCTTTACGTGGGCAAAATTTGTGGCTGGTGAAGTCGCTCTGCAGCTGCGTATTGAGACTCTCTTTTCGCTTGGTGGCTGTGCTGGCCATCGCAGTGAACAAACTTGAAAATGGCAGTCCGGTGTCATTGCCACAGGACTCCAGCAGTGGTCTGTAACTCCAGTCAAAGGGAACAGGCACGGTAGTCAACCCGCACCAGCATTTTTCATATATGCTCTGGGACACTAAGTTATAAAGAAATCTTCTGTAACAGCTGTGAGGTATTGCAGGAAAACAAATAACTGTTTGCTTACTTAATGGCCATCAGTCTCGATGGCGCTCCCGGTTCGTTTATAGCTCAGGACTGAGATAAAGGTTAGCATTGACCATACAACAATAAGCTCTTATATGCGTCTAATACAGTTGCTTGGGAACACAGTGCCAATATTTTCCGTGTTGACACCAGCACCTGTTCTGTCTCTTAAGCAGGGTGGCTTCCGTGCAAAATACTCCTATGTGAGTGCTCGCATCAACTGGATTCCAGTTTGGTTAGGAGAATTAAATGAACACAACATACAGCGGTTAAAGAGATTTTCGCCTTAATTGTAAAAAGAGCGCTTTTTCCGCGTAGATGCCAAATAGTCCCTCTTGTCTTACGGATTAGTGGCTTTGATACTGCTTGACCACCAGTTGTTACTGGGGCCAGAAGGGAGCAGCAGTAATGTGGAAATTGAGAGAGGGTTGCTTGTGCTATTGCGAGTGGCAGTTGAAGTCGAGTACTTCACATGCAGTTCTGACCATGCTTTCTGTGGCATTTTGTTATAGTCCCGGTAAAGTACAGTAAACAGTAATAAGAGTTTATAGGGGTTTCTTGCTCAGATACGTATCCAATTGTTTTTACATATTCCTCCTACTGACTGCACTGGCACAGCCCACTAGTGTAAAACAATAATTGGATTTAACGTGATGATGGATAAACCATGATGTGCCTCAAACCTCCCTCCCTCCAGAGCGGATAGGGAAGCCACTGGTCCTGAATGCGTCCCCCTCACTTGGAGTGTTACGGAAGACATGCTATTTTCAGCCTTTTCTGTGCTGAGTGGCACAGAGGAGAGGTTTTGAGGTTGCAGAAGGTACTCATCTACATTTCCAAACTGCGGTGCAAGCTAGCTCTGGGCTCCTGGCTGCCACAGAAATAGTGCTGCTGGCTGAAGCCAGATAAACCATTGCAAGCACAAAGGCAGCAGCAAACGACAGCCAGCTTTCCCTGCGACTGTTCCCTCGCTGAACGAACACATACCTTTTCACACCCTGCGACTGAGTTGAGGAGGAAGAGAAAGACAACTTTTGCATGTGGGTAGATTGCTGTCGTAATAAGCACCTGAACAAACTTTACTATATCCTATCTTGGCTGTAACTCTGCATATGTGGCAGAGGGCCTACAAAGCCAAGAATTTTATAAAGTTTGTTCTTCCACCTCCACCCAGCCAAAATATATGCCCCAGTTCTCCCCCAAACCGTCTTAATTTAAATAAATATAATGCAATCTCATATAAGTGATGGGACCCGTGTCTCCTGAAAAGCATGACCCCATAAAATCCTGGCTGGGGGAAGTACCTCCTCTGGGCAATGCTGGCTTAAGCAACCGTCAGCCCTACCCTCAGCTGCACACATGTGCCCCTGCATCATCCCCTGCCTCATGCTGCCACAACTGCTTGCGTAGCTGGGTGATGAACTAAACGGGAGCACAGATCCAGATGGAAAACAGCCCAGGGGAAAGGGGGGAGGGAGTTTTCAGCCAGATCAGTTCCTCCATCGTCTCAAATGCTGGTGTGTACACCCTGCAGCAATAGTGGGAACAAAATTATCTGGGGGAGGGGGACAGTCAGGGTGGTGACTTTAAACCAGTTTTACCACCCTCGCTGAATGCCAAGCTATTGCTTCAGAAAAAAAAAACCCAGGAAGTCCCCAGTGTAAGGAAATGGGGTGGTTGGTTTCCCTCAACTCCCACCTTAATCTGTTTACTTGTTGCTGGGGCTTTGATGCTTGTCATGAGGGTGTCACCGGGTCAGTCCCTGCGTATGCCTCTCCCCACTGTCACCACTGCTCTGCCTTTCAAGGAACTTTTGTGGTCTGACTTCCAAAACAAAGAGTTTCTTAGGGAATATCAAAGAGGAGGCAAGACGTAACACATGAATTGCCTACGTAATACGTGACTTCTCTGTGTGAGCACAAAGTCTTCCCAGGATCCCCCTCACCTCTTTATTCCTCTGCCAGGCTGCGTGTTTGGGCTGGACACTTTGTGCAGCACTGGCACGGTGCTGCAATTTGACATAGTAAATTGCTTAACAGTTTCATAACCTCTTCCTTTCACTGCTGGGTAGAAATGAGGGGCTTTGATCCGGAGATTGCATCACAGGACCAGCTTCTTAAAGGAAAATAAAAGTTGGAAACGAGGTTACACTACTACATTGCATCCCCGCTTGTTTTTTACTACGCAGTCCTTCGGGGACACAGCATGGCAATACTAAAGCAATATGCTCCGCCAGCGTTTGTCGGAGGGACATTAGTTGTGTCCCCTGGCAGACGCTGTGGCAATGAGTGTGCGTGTGACTGACACCGATTAGGCTGCGCCACGGGGCTCCCACCGGGCGTTTCCTAGAGCAGCGAGGGCCACAGGGGGTGGGTATCACAGCAGCGGCAGTGATTGCTACTGATGGCTGTTGGGGCTCTTCCCAGGATAAGTCCGGTCCAAGCTTAGATGCCAGCAGCTCCTGCTGTTTTAACATGAGCTTGATTAGACCAGCGCTACGGAGGATCACTAGACAGTGCTTGCGTGCCAGAGGCCATTGCTAAGAGACAGGATAATAAGATCTCTTCCAGGGGCCGATCCAGAGGAATTACGAGCAGGTGTTTTGCTGTCCACTTCCTCGGCCATCAGAGCACGGTGATTTGTTACAACAGCCTCCGCGGGTCCTTGGCAGGCTTTCATGTCACCTCTCTGTGCATAGCGTAAAGCAGGACACAGCCTGGTTTGAGACAAGCATCAGCTCTGTGCTGCTTCCCACCTCCCAGAGGGGTTTTCATCTCTCTCCCAGCTCTTTTCTTCCTTGCCCTGGGGGATCGGTCTCCCTTCAAACCTGTAGATCAGGAGTTTCCAGTCTAAAGGCTACGCATCTCAGTGGAGTCGTGAGTCTGGCAGATGCAATTAGATACACAAGGAGTTGGGGTCCTGACCAGGCTGCAGGTTGGGCACTAGCCCCGTGGAAGGAGAAGGAGCAATGGTCAAGGGGGTGGCTGGCCTCCCCTTCCCGTTCGCCTTGCCCTCTGCTTCCCCGCTGCCCCGGCAGCACGGAGAGGGAAGGCATCTGATGAAAGTGTGGCCATGCCCCGCTGCACTCAGACATCTCCCTGCTAGTGCGTGGCAGGGGCAGCCCAGGCAAAGCTGGGAGGATGCGACTCCGCTTCGGGGTGCCGGCACCCATGGCCCTGCAGCAGGGTGAGGAGTGTCCCCTGAAGCAGGGAAAGGGGACCGTGAATGGCTGCGGTTTGGGGCTGGCTCTGAAACTGGCCCCGCCAGGCGTGCTTGCACATAAGGCAGGTGAATGCAAACACTGCCTGGGGCGTTAGCTTCCCGGGGGTGGAGCCGCTGCTGCAGAGGTGGCAGGGCTGAGCCTGGGCCCTGCGGAGCCCTGCTCCAAAACCAAGCCCAAAGCAACCAGCCTTCACCTGGGCAGGGAGTTCACCTCCCTAAAAATCAAGCTATTGCCCCCCCGCCACCGCCACCACCAAGCAAGGCTGGCCACGGCAAGCATGGACTGTCCGGGGAAGGAAGGCGTGGGGGGCAGGAGGAGGAATTTGGCCCTGCTGAGGGACAAGCTGTACATGGGACAGAGGAGGAAGACGGAGCCTGTAGTGGAGAGCACCACCACCGCCGGGGACCATGGCACCTTGAGGAGGAGTCAGTCCGACAGGACAGAGTACAGCCAGAAATTACAAGGTACCAGGGAAGCTTGCTTGGTGCTCTGCTGCTAGGGATGCTCTGGGCTGCGGTAGTATCTTGACGCCCTCCAGGCTGCAGCCTTGAGATAAAGAAGGGAATGGCAGTCTCTGCCCCCACACACTCGCAGTTGGAGTGAGCAATTGCTCCCTCTCACCCTTGCCCCCGGTTCCAGGGCGTGAAATGTTTCTCTTAATTTTTCTAAATAATGATGTGGTGTAGACAGGACACAAAATGCAATCGAAGGACTTGGTGTGTTCCTGCAAAATGCGTATGCAACCGGGATCTTTCTCATTCGTCACCAGAACACGTTTGCAACGCAAACAGTAATGTGATGGCTCCATCCTATCTGTCTTTGGTTGTCGTATCAAGTGGGGTATATGCTAACTAATTAGAAGCATCAAGGGCAGTTTTTTCTTTCAGTTAAAAATACCGGGATTTCTAATGTGTTTATCTGTTGCTCAGATTGTGCAAGCCTGAACTGAAGTACATCCAAATACATGTTTTGATGGATATGCCGATTCAAATTATACCATTATGGAGAGGGTTTCTTTTCAAATAACCAAATTGCATCTGGACCAGAAATTGGCAAATTATGTCAGTATTGGGCCTGTCAATCAAAAATTAAATGCGATGCCACAAATTGAAGAAAAGCATGAAGAATGTGTATGGCTATTTCTGGAAGTGCTCTGGAACACAAACTTACGAATTTCTGTGGGTTTCCAGGGTCTTGAACAACAGGGTCTCATCACAGATGCGGGGTTTGAGTATTAATGTAAGCGTGTGTTACTAATGGTGATATAACTGCCCAGTGACAGTCACTCTTGTGGCAATAATCCTTTATGGGGAAATAAAACAGGAAAATACTGTGGGTCGCTGTATTATGGTTTTGATGCACTACAATTAGGAAGTAGCATTCCTTCAGAGAAACAATAAAAGTAGAAAATAAAATAATAAACCTGAAAATAATAGGATTTCTATGGGGGCTGCATACACTGAAAACAACAGAGTGGTTCATCGATTATGCTGTTCCTCCTCATGATAGCTAATCAATGAGAAGATGAAAAATTGTCAGTTAAGTCAGGCACACGCTGCAGGGGTCTGGCGGGGG